GGAGCAGCTGGTGGTCAAACCACAAACCACTGGGTTGGCAGCACAATCTGTGGCACACAGTCAGGCTGGGGAAGAAGAGGGTGGTGACCTGGGGTCATGTTCCATGTGTTATTGGGTGCTGCTGAGTCAATTCCAATTCACAGTGTACAAGTCACAGAGTAGAACTGTCCTACAAGGTTTTCAAGTCTGTAATCTTTATGAGTCAAGGATGTGTCCTATCTCCATATCTTTTTAATCTATATGCGGAGCATATTATCCAGGAGGCTGGACTCTATGAGAAGTGTGGCATCAGAATTGGAGGTAGACTCATCAACAATCTGCGTTATGCTGATGACACAACCCTGCTTGCTGAAACTGAGGAGGGCCTGAAGCACTTGCTGCAGAAGGTCAAGGACGGCAGCCTTCAATATGGATTAAAGCTTAACATCAAGAAAACAAAGATGCTCACCACTGGACCGATTGACAGCAACATGATAGATGGTGAAGAGATAGAGATTGTTGACAACTTCAGTTTGCTTGGCTCTACAATCAACTCTTTCTTCCAGAAGCCAGGACCAGAGACCTCTCCAAGGTACTGAGGAGCAATGATGTCAGTCTGGAGACTAAGGTGTGCCTGATACAGGCCATGATCTTTGCAATTACTTGTTATGCATCAGAGAGCTGGACAATGACTAGGAATGATAGGAGAGTTGATGCCTTTGAGCTTTGGTGCTGGAAAAAAGTATTGGATATACCATGTACTGCTAGGAGAACAAACAAGTTCATCCTGGAGAGGGTAAAGGCAGGCTGCTCTTGGAGGCAAGGATTCTGAGGCTCCGTCTAACATTCTTTGGACATGTTGCAAGGCAGGATCAGTCCTTGGAGAAGGACATCATGCTTGGGAGGGTGGAGGGACAGCGCAGGAGAGGAAGACACTCGATGAGATGGATTGATCCCATCACTGGGGTAATGGGAATAGGTGTGTCAGAGACAATAAGGTTGGCAAAAGATAGAGCAGGGTTTAGAGCTGTTGTACATAGGGTTGCTATGAGTCACAAGCAAATCAACGGCACATAACAACAAAAACAATCTTTATGAGAGCAGATCACCAGCTTTTTCTCCAACAGAGGATCTGACAGAGTCAACGTACTGAGCCCCTGGTTATTAGCTAAGTGCTTAACCTCTGCTGTGAGCTTGGCACTATTATTGTCCCATGTTCTGGATAATGAAACAGAGGCTACCTGTCTAAAGTCATGGAGCTAGAGAGCAGCAAAGCCAGCAAAAGCCTGTGCTCTCACCTCAGAGCTATCACATCTCGTACACTAGTTGTCAAGCATCCTACTGTAAGTGAAGAGATGACGCAAGGAGCCAGCATGGCTCTGAGGACAAGAGATGAGCCCCCCCCCCCCCCCCGAGGGTGTCACACTGCAGGTAGGGATGCTGTTGATAAGTTAGAACTCAGAGGAAGTCAAGACTTGGCCAGCTTGCTCCATATGCTTCTTCTAGAAGACTTCCTTTTCCCAAGCCCACTGTGCTCCAGACAACAGGTGTGTTTACCCCCTCAGCAGCCACCTTTCTAGAACTTTGGCTTCCCGTGGGCCTGCAGATCTGCCTACAGCCACCAGAGGGCAGGCCAGCGCTGTGGCCAAGGCCAGAGGACCAAGAACCCCAGAGACTGGCCAAGTGTCCAGCCAGACATGGGCCTAGAAGCCCTGATTCCACTTTGCCACCAACCTGCTCCCTGGGATTTCTAACTGTAGAAACTCAGCTCAAGTTCAGGCATTATGTCTAATTCTACTGGGTAAGCAATCCTGGCACTACGCTGGAAAACAGAGCAGGGACCACCGTGGACAGGTGCTGGGGCGTCAGCACGCTGAGTGAGCGCGGCCCCATGTCTTGCATGCCTGAAGATTTGCCTTGGGCTGCTGAGGGTGAGGTGGACTGTGAAGCTGAGAAAACCCGGCACCAGGAAGGGGAGTCACCTGTCCAGGGCGACCCAGATCCCAGGAACAGATGTTGCCAAGTCCAAGAGCTGAGGGGACAAGGGGCTGCAAACGGGGGTGAGGAAGGGACAGGAGGTCGGAGTGTTTCCTAAGGAAGGGCAAATGCATCGTGGCGTATACTGTAAATTGAGACTAGTCACTCATCCGCCCATTCATCATCCATTCAGAGGCGAGCACGGAGCACTGCTGGGAATGGGACAGAAGACCTTCCTGCCCTCAAAGAGCTGGCAGTCTATGGGGGGAGGGGGGGTCGGTCGGGTGAGTCAGCAGATAATTATAGGGAAATGTGACATTGTCACAGTGGGATATGGTTGAGGAGCTGGGACCTTCCAGGGTGTGCGTGTGTTGAGGCTGTCCTCTGAGCTTTAAGGGTCTGAGGAAAGTCCTGGAGTTAGGGATAAATCCTAGGGGTACCCCTCTTCCCACTGCTCACTCCAGGATGAGGGCTCCCCTCCCCACTCGGGATGCCCTCCTTTGTTGGGGCCCCGGGGTCCTCCCCCACCCCCTCAGAGAGGAGCAGGCCCAGGGAGCCGATGACAGCACACCTGAGTCAGCCCGCCGCCCACCCGCCCCTCAGCGTCTGTCTCTGCATCTTGTGATATTTCGCTCCCTGGGAGCCAGCCCCACTGAGCTCCGGAGGCAGCTCGGCAAACAAACCCAGCGACAGATTGTGCCGCGGCTCATTCCGGGGAAGGACGCCAAATCCCACCCTGCTACCCCCAACACTCCCTCTCCACCGCCCCCTCCAGGCCCTCTCCCCAGGCGCGCCTCAGACGGGTGGGTCTTGGGAAGCACAAGGGCCCTGTTCCGAAGGGAGGAGGACAACAGCCTCAAGGACGCTCCTGTCCGTCTGTCTCTACGTGACCTAAAAAAAGGGAGGGGTCCAGAGAGGAAATCGAGGTGCAGAGAAGGCCTGGGAGTTCAGAAAAGGCAGAGGATGGAGCCAACAGGGGGAGCCCGCGTGTCAAGGTGCAAGAGGTCCCAGAGCCAGAAAGCGCGAGAAGCGCGCATGACACGCCCAGGGATGCAGAGACTCGAGATGCACGGAGCCACAAAGAATAGAGACAGACAAGACTGTGACAGACAGAAAGACAGATGCGTAGAGGGAGAGAGGGACTGGGAGAGAGAAAGGAAGAGGGAAGAAAGAAGGGAGGGGGAGAATGGGGAGACCGAGGCCAAAAAATATGAGTACGGGGGAGGAGGGGGAGGGAGAGAACTAGGAGAACAAGGGAAGAAGACTGGAGACTGCGGAAAGGGCTGAGAATGGGTGGGCCGCATGAGACCAACATTTATAAAGCTCCCACTGTATGCCAGGCGCCGCGCTGGACCCTGGAATGGAGAGGAAAGGAGGGGCCGCGAACGAGGTGGTGGTGGCGGGAGAGGGACTCCCTCACTGCGCTCCGGGGAGTGGTCGCGCGCGGCCGGCTACGCGCAGATGGTCCTGGCACCGGCCATACGCGCCTCTCCAGCAGCTCCAACTCCGCCTGCGCCGCTTGGCGACCGTCCGCGAAGTGACTCGCGTTCCCCTCCATCCCCCAAACGGGTGCCCCGCGCGCCTGGTCTGCTCTAGAGGGCCAGACGCCAGGCGCCCAGGACCGGGTCAAGGCCAGGGCGAGCAGGATCACAGCTGATTCGTGAGGAGGTGCGCTGGCCCCGAGTCTGTGGGTCCCGCATCTCATGCGATCTCCAGGGGCCCCGGGAGCCCTAGTGAGAACCCTAGGGGTTCCCTATCAAAAAGAGTAGAGGAGGCTCTCGAAAAAGCCACGCCTGGGCCTCCGCCCACCTTTAGGGTCTCTCCTGCCCACCCCCATTCTTGCACCAGGGGGCTGCGATGCCATCTCTCGCACACATCACACTTAACATATAAAAACGCACACATTCTCGCGGCCGTGCTCACTCGAATTGGCACCCTTTAGAAAATGCAGGAAGGGGCGTCCACACTCTAACCCCCTACACCTTCGCCACCCACGCCCAGCCTCGTACGCCAAACCCTCGCTCAGCCGCACGTAAGCCCAGCGCACACTCGCTGCACGCGGGTAGGCACTTGCGATCCAGCGTGCGCACACTCACGCGCCCTCTCTCCCGCGGGCCCCTAGGAAAGGTTACATGCACGCACTAGAGTCCCACCTGCACACGCGTCCTTGCGCGCGTGCACGCTCACCTACACACACACACGCTTGCACACCCAAACACGTGGGGATTTGCCTATGCATTTCTTTATAGTCACACACACTCTGGGCTTGGGGTTTGGGGAAGGTGGTGTCTTGCTTGGCCAGCGCTTTCCCGCACCTCGTAGGGGGGGGGAGGTATACCCAGCGTGAACACTGGTGGGGGGTAGGGGACCAGGGAGGGGCGGAGATGGCGACCCGGGAGGCCATCTGCTAGGAGAAACTTGGGAGGGGAGGACAGGACACGTCCTCAGGGTTCCCTTCCACGACCGCTTCCCCCTCAAGAAGGGAATTCTCTAGAATCGTGGCGCCACGAAGGCGATCGAAGATAGTCTCTCAGGTCCCCCAAGGAGGAGAGGGGGCCAGGATGGAGGGGGCGAGCGAGCCGCTCACGCCTCCCAGTGGCCAGGAAAGGGTTAAGGCGGCAGCCAGGAAGCGAGGGAGGAGCCAGCGAGTGCGGGAAGGAGGGGGTAGTTGGGAAGCGCTTCCCTGCCGTCCCCACTCTCCCTCGGCGAGCGGCCGGCGCGCACGGACCGACGGAC